ACCCTTCTCCTATGAGAAGTCAGTCCAGTTGTTTCCTGTTCTTTTGCTGTGCTTTGCACCCCATCCTAAAGGGGGCCAGGATTGGTCTCCTGAAGTTCACAGCCTTATCTGGAAACTGGCTGGTAAACCCTGGTGCCTGAAAACAAAATCGATACAGCCTCCATGCTGCAGAGTACAGTAGGAGGAAGCAGATTAAATGGTCTAAAGCAAGGGTAGGCAACGCCTGGCATGGGTCCCAGAGTGTGGCATGCATGCCTTGGGGCAGATGGCAGAGAAGGGCCCTGCTGTAACAAGGATTAGGCCACTTATACCTCCCCCACTGTCTACCCCTGGCGCACAAGCATCTGTCAAGTTTGAGGTTGTGGGTGCTTTTGGTACTGCCCTAAAACATTGCTGACCCCCGGTCTAAAGTCTACATTAGAAGGACCGTCCAGTCTAAAGCCTAGGAAACTGTAGGGGAGGGTTATCTCAAACTCCACATGAGGAGAAGATTAAGCCTGGGGGGTGTTCTCCCCTTCTTTCTTCACTCCCTCACTGCCCATATCTCTACCCGTGCCCCAGGTGGATGTCCAGTTTGTACGGATGACTAAACGCTTCATTGCCCTGTCTGAGCTCAAAGCTCACCACCAGGAACACAAAGAGTCAGGAGGTCCGCTAAAGAACATGCTGCTCTTCTCCAGGCATAGGCTCTCCATCCAGCCCCTGACTAAAGGTAAGAACATTTTCTTAACACTGGGGTTATTGATGTGACTCCTCCCTGATGAGAGAGCCCTTGTTTAGTCACTGGCAAGTTGTTTGACTTTCCTCCCCCCTTGCCCCTTACTGCTTCACCCAGAGGAATTTGAATTCATCCTGACCCTTGAGGAGAAGCCACGCTAGGCAGACTGACTGCAGCATGGGGTCCCATCGATGCCAAGATGAATGTGTTCCCTTAACTAGAACGCTCCCTCCCAAACTTATCGTCAGACCCAGGCATGAGGAAAGACTGCCTGGCAAACCAAAGCCTGATATATGCATAATTGCTTATTTTGGTGCACAGTGCTCTTTTTAAATAAAACTTTTTTAAAGTTGAATGCATCTACTTGTCAGTGGTGGGGACAGACTAGCAGCTTTACATCTACAGACAGAGCAGAAGGGCTTGACTTGACTGGTGGCTTTTACTGTTCCTGATGCCAAGATGACACTGCTCCCTCCAGTCTTGGTGAAGACCTTTCCGTGTGTCAGATGTACAAAGTTCTGCAAAGGCCAGTGTCGGTCTCAAGTCTGCGTTGCTGTGACTTGCAAAATGTATGTCCAAAATTGAAACTCTTCAGGAGGTGAGCTGCTGCAAGGTGGACTTCAAATCCTTAATAGCCTCTAGAGCTTTAAAATAGAGGCAAAGTGGAATCCTCATGCTGATCTAGTGATTAGAGTTAATTACTTTACTAAAGGACTTGCTCTTCATCCTACAAAAGTAGGGCCAAGGAAAAAAGAACAAGTATCAGGATTTGTAGCTGCATCAACCACTATGGCTCTGAAGTGCCCTTTACGGGGCTTAAAGCTGGCTAGCTACTTTTCCCATCAGTGCTGCTGCTGACACACGTAGAGGCACTCAAAACCACTTTGTCTATCCTGCAAAAAGGTGCCAGGTAAGTGACCAGTGCATAGAAAAGTAGAAGAGTTCAGTGCTGCAATACAAATCCAGTCAGACAAACTTGTGCACAGCATTTGAAAGCCCAGGATGGCCTTTTAATCAGAGAGACATAAACCAAATTTTAAAATACAGTCATTGAAAAGACAACGAATTAAGAACCATGTAAACACGGCAGAGGCTTAATTACAAGTTGCACTGCTTGGTTTAGTGCCTACACACTCCACGCACCTTGCCCCCTTTCCCCCCAGTGCAAGTCTCCATCTGGAAAAAGCACCACCTACCACCTCCCCAGCGTGGGATTTGCCTAAACACTGCAGTAGTGCCCCTTCTTCTCTCCCTTAACTCCCTCTTCTGTAGTGTCTTGTACTGGCCTTGTATGTTAACATTGCTACTCCTGAGAGGCTTCCAGCTTTGTCTTCAGGAGCCGGGATCCTGCATGCCCAGCAAAGTGGGCAAACTGGAAAGCAGGTCAAGTGACCAAATCAGAAAAAGGTAAAACAAAGGGTGGGGGGAGGACTTGTAATTCTGGTCTTACAACCTGGGACACAGGTGAGGGCAGAGGAAAGACAGCAGAAAAAACACACTTGGTCATGCATCTTCCCTGACTAAACCCCTCCTCCAACAGTGATGAGCAAACACCTCTGAAACTCTCCCTGCTAAACCACCCCTCCCACCCAAAAATATAGAATCACCACCTGCAACGTGAGACCAAATTTTCACACTCACTACTGAGTTTCAACAGTAAGTAAACTCAGCTAATCCACAGATAACTTCCTCCACTGAGCTCTCTCAGCACAATGCATACTACGACCAAGAGAAGCAAGCAAAAAGAGGACAGTTTTGGGGCTGGGTAAAAGTGAGGTAAAGAGGGAGGGTCAGGGTTTTAAATAGCTTATATTTAAAATAATTGCTGTGCTTGCCTCAGTCTGCTACCCAGAGTGGCTCCCAAAGGGGGTATCACCTGATCCCAACTCATTATGCATTATCACAGCATGCCTTTATCCCTCCCCCGGGGCAGGAGCTCATTAAATTAGTGTCTGGAGGAATGACAAGTTCCTTGGGTACACAAGTCCCAAAGCATGCTGCTGTCTCCTTTCCTGATGTAATAAGGCAGTTGCCCATACAAGTCTCCATTTCAGGCTGAGAAAAGAGACCATAGTTCCAGCCCAGAGCACAGACTTCTCACAGAAAGAGGCAGAGTAAGCCGCACACCTTCACTACTACAGAGCAGAACATGGCATGACACTATAGTTCACAGCAGAGAAGAGGCAATTAGCATCCTCTGCAACAGGGCAGGACTCTCCAGCTAGGTTAAGAACTGTAGTCCTACGTATGATGGATGAGTGAAAAATAACTCACTTTGGCAAGCAGAACACACATGTATCACTGAACTACAGCAGCTTTCTTACTACATAAAGATCTCCCCCTCCCACCCAGATCCCACACTCCCCACAACAGGCACGGTGGCACTGTCTGACAAATTGAGGTTGAAGATGCTTTAACTTCCCAGCAGCAAGAAAACGGTTCTGTATCCAACCGGCAGACAGTGGCAGAACAAATTCTAGATTCAAAACCAAGCCAGGCAGAACCCCAATGAGCTACAAAACTACAGGGGAAGTCATCAGTGCAGATCCCATTTGAGGGAACTAATGTCCCAGAATTTAGTTCAGGTTTTCATGTCCTTCTGCTGGAAGACAGCTATAATACCTGCTTCCTGGAAGGGCATCTCAAAAGGATGGCTATTTTCCAAATGCAATCAATCAAGTTTAAAAAGCCACTTCAGATTTACAGGAGGACTTAATCTCTGCCACAAACTCTCTCACAATGCAGCAGCCCTCCCAAAGTTAAATGGAATTTGAGAGCAAGAGGTGTCCTCTGACATGATCCTCAGCTAGCAGGCCCAAAAGACAGTCCCACTCATTCTCATCAGGCCTCTATCACTCATCTGCATGGAAGGAGACACTGACCACTGATTTGTTGTGACCTAATAGATGTAAAGGCCTCTAACTGAACAATAACATCCACACTTGCTAGGAACAGCAACCCCCAGCCCCACAGTTCAAGGGAGCAGACAGCAAGCCTTTCAAGTGCAGGTGTTTAAACTTTGCAACCAGCATCCTCACCCTCCTCCACCCACTGTGAAATCTCCTGTTCTCTCAACATGGACGAGGTTTTGACCTCAGCGCCCCGCCTAAGGCAAATCCTAAGGCTGAGCTCAGATAAATAAGACAAAGGGAGAACTAGACGCAAAATGCTCTCACGCAAGCAGCTTCCCAGGCAATGGCACCAATTCCTCAACCTCTTGCTCTGCAGCACTTTCCCTTGTACAAATTGAGTTGACTGCACTGCTTCCCATTTCAGCACACACAGCAGTACATGGAATCTGTTGTACTGTGATCTATTGCAGAGAGCACTTCCCAGGACTTAGATGTCCGAGGTTGGCTGTAATACGAGGACTCAGTTGCATCCAACAGCCTGAGCTTCCAAGAGAGACAATACCGACTCTGCTTTTTCAGCAATGAGCAGTTTCCCCCAGATTCACTATTCAGCTGCTCTGCTAGCTCGCATTCCCTCAGCCACTGCACTACTCAGCATCCACCACCCGTCAGCTGCCTGAGCGTTTCGTGTTTGACCTTCCACACCCCCTCAACAAGATGCTGCGTCCCAGAGCTCCAACGAGAGGGACGCAACACCTGCTGTGCTCCACAAGGCGACAGCTCTGCTCTAGTCACCAAGCTGATTCAACAATCGTTATATACCCGTTTGCAGCAGAGAGTCCAGGAAAAGCGCGAAGGGGAAGAAAAAACAGGGACCAAAGCAATTTATAGCAGGCTATGCACGCCTCCAGCTGAAACTGCTTCCTTCCCCACTTGCTCATTCGCACTCCTGTTGTACAGCTAAAATGCTGCCACACTCCCTCTTCCTCACCGCACCAAGACTCCGAGATGGCAGCAAAATTCCACTCCACGACCAAAACCACATGCACAACACGGAGAAGAAATCCCATTTCCCTTCCATGCTCCCCCTTCCCTACTGCCAGGCTGAAGGGGGTGGGAAGTGGGGGATGGGAGGTTTTGTGGCAAAGAGGAAGTCAGCCAGCCCCAAGACTCCTGCACATGTAAAAACAGGTGACCCCAGAGGAATGTAGTCAATTGGGGAGCACTAGGGTACGTTCAACTCTGTGCCATCATTGCTGTAGCTCATGTTGCCCCCTCCCCCACCCTACCCCCGTGGTCCTTTGAAGAAAGGAATTAAGTCAAAAACGGATATTTATTGTCGTAAGTCTCTGAAATATCTTCTTTTCCCCTCACTGCTGCCACTGGCTCCAGAATCTCAGGTTCCGCAGCAGCCTCGTTCCATAGGTCTCTCACTGCCGGCTGTTGTTCTCTGCAGGTTGGCTGGGGGTCCTGGCCTCAGCATGGGAGGACGTCCCTTCAAACCGCTGAGAGGCGATGGCTGCCTGGTGGGACATGCTCTTCCTCACGATGTCTCCTTTTCGCCATAGCACCACCTCCTATGGAGCAGAGATAGCAAAACCTGTTAGGATTGTGGTAGCAATGGTGGCTGTACCCAGGAGCTCCTCAGACTTGGATCCAAAGTGACGGAGCAGTAACTTGCATCTGCCCCCAGTAAAGGGCATGTCATGTGCTGGCATATTCCACTCATGACCTTTCAAGCTGTGAAAAACTATTACAGTTCCTAGGAAGGATCCCTCCCAATGCAGTGGATGGTCAGATGGCAAAACTCCATGCAGAATAGGCCAGGCATATGAGGAGCAACCACTAGATGCTAGCTGTGTCCTAATATACAAGGCAGCACCACCACAGTTAAGGAGAAGGACAGCAGCACATGGCACAGAGCAAAGAATCAGTAAGAAGAACCAAGGGAGCTGCCTGTAGTAGGTAGCGCCCCCCATTAAGACCATTCCTTTAACTGGACACAAACATCTATCTGATCTAGTGTTTTCTAATGCATTCTCCACGCCCACCCTAGGCAGGACAGCTCTAGTGAGTACCACATGGGGCGCTGCCCAAAACTGACCTGTTGTGAGTTTTAAAGAACCTTTCTAGATACTGTGTTAAAAATCAGATGCAATCCTGCACCATGATGCAGCATCACTTCTGCCTTCTCACCTGCTGTTTGAAGTAGCGCCTTTCCTCTTCATCTATCAGCACCAGGTTGAGGTAATAACGCACCGAGAACTTCTTATTGATGTCCCTCATAGTTGGTGTCAGCTCGTAGCCCGCCAAGAAGAGTCTGATTGGAATGGACTCCCCTGCAGAGGACACCAGCACAATGAGATCAAACCAGAACTCACTAACTCTTGCAAGCCTTTCCCTCCCATTCTTCCAAAGTGTACTGCTGCTGATACAGGCCAAATGGCTTCATTCCCAGTGTAGTGGTTTATGTGCTTAGACCTTAGTAACATTATACCCCCTCCTTAACTGTAAGCCCAGGGACCCATCACCTACAACATTACAGCAGCAGGAAAGAGAGAATGGGATGATGCTTGCTATAGCAAGAGATGTGGCAACTCTGGAATAGAGTTACAAATACACTACAAATTAATACCATCAGCAAGGGCTTGGCACAGGGGACTTGTGGCAACAGGACACCACCTCTCAGCTTCACTTAGACTAGATTTGTGTCAGTAATGCCTCCAAGTCTATTCCTCTGCCAATCTGCAAAGAGACCATCAGTCCCAGCCTCTCTGTACCTTGATATCTCACATGTTGCAGAAGATTCATGTTTCTGGTATTTGACAAAGGTGCCTAAGATTCACGAATGTAACAGAAGGCATATTACTATATACAAAAATGGGAATTCAGCTGAAGATGCTATGGGATTCCTATTCAGTCCCACATTCCCAGTACTTGAGCAGCTCTGCTCCCCCAAAATTATAGAACAGAAACAAAAAAGAAACCCTCCCAACCTCTCACAGGGGCTCCATCCATGATCTCATATTTAGCTATTGTGTCATTCTCATGGTACACGTTTGGTCCAGTCCCTGTTGTCTCTCTCTTGATGATATCGATCTCCATGTGTTTGATCTTGATCCGCACCAGCAGGAAGTAGATTTTTCCTACGATCACATCTTTCAAATGGTACCTGGAAGGGACAAGAAAGAGCACCACGGTCCATCTCACACCTGACATAGCGCAGGGCACAGGCTGAAGAGCCAAGATGTGGTCAGACACTTCCATATATCTACACCATCACATCTCCACTCTAAACTTCACGGGGATCCCAAGCACCCAAATGGGGCTGCTTTAACTAACCAGGCTTTCATCCTCCAGTTCTCTTGGGAAACTGGCAAGTATGCATGGGATCATCAGAAAAAACAAGATGACAAGTTTTGGCTGGATATCCAGAACTTGGCGACAATGAAATTCAAGTCTTCTATATCAGCTATTTAGGTCATTTGCTACTAGCATGATTGATACCTTGCAGGAGAACCCCCAAGAACTGCCTGGGAGGGATGCAAAAATGTAGGTCAAGACAGTTAATTCTAACTTTTCTACCAAGTTAACAATGACAGTCCCATGTTTTATGGTATCATCTAGCAAACAGCAGAAGCTGTGTCTTGGGGGTACCTGAGAATGCTGCCTTGCTCAGAACAACAGGAAGACTATGCCAGAGTAAAATAAACTGATGCATCAAATCTGCAACCCACATTCAGTATGTAGGGACAGATGGACCCATCTGCACTTCAAGGCCACGGTAGGTGGGCTGAGATTTGCAGCACATGGGAGGCTAGGAGGAATGACAGGTTCCCCTGACATAACATCTGCAGACCTCACTGAATTAGCAAGCAGGTTGCACAGTGCCCCGCTTTCCAGAGAGCTCTAATCAACAGGCATCCTCTGGACACTTACTTGGATTTGTTGTACTCAAACTCGATGTGCAGGCAATCCTCAATCCCCACCTCCATCTTGATAGAGGAATTGAGTTCTGGGTAAGTGCTGAGCGTGTGCACAACGATATCCATCTCCTTCACCACATCATTTAGCCTGCGGCTGACAGTAGCTCGGAGGAAATACCTGCAAGGAAACCCCTCACCTGTTAGAGCATGCACAGATGGCAGCAGATGCAGAAGCTCTGGAAGGAAGCATTAGGATAAGAAAGAGGAGATGGGGTGATATTTAAAAGCCAATCCCCCATGGTTTAGGGAGAGGTAAAAATCCTTCCTCATCCACCTGACCTATTGTACAATGCTGTACACAGGCCAATTACACTTAGACCTCATCACTGTAAGGCTGAGCAGCTGCCAAGTTACCTCCCCAAAGCATGAGATTTAATCACATTCCTTTCCGCCTACATCGCTGTGGTACTGAGCATGACGTTATCCAGCCTTTGCATCTGACTCAACAACTATTTTGCATTTACAAGGTATCTTTAAAATCTGCGTCTGAACTAGAATTTGTAATGTGTGAACCGCAAAGCATCAGCAAGGCATGTGTGTACATCTAGGGCATGCTTAAAATAAGTAGGCCTGATTACAGGACAGTTGAAACGTACTTAGCCAGCCCTGTCAGGAGACTGAAGTAGCAACATAATATTCATTTTATTGCCAAATAAATTTTTGAGAGCCACGAGAAATTAGGGGTTCTCTTGCCATTTAAACTATAACAGACCTGAATAACACAATGCCTCATTCAGCTCCGGACACACAACAGAGGGACCGTGACAAGCCATGTTTTGCCACTGAGCTCAATGCACAGCCTCAAGAATTGCACAACTGCTCAGAAAGCTGTCCCAGGAGGGAGATGAGGTTCCATTATCTTTGCCTTAAGTGCTCATAATTTAGCATTCATCCCTGGCCAAATATCAGGCGTGAGCAAAGTGAGCTTTCTGCCAGGACCAGCCCTGGCTACAGTGTGCCTGGAAAAAATCAAGTCACTGAAAGGAAAGGAGGTACAGCCAAATTATGGAAAGCAAGAAAGAAGAAGGATGAACAGGGCTTCCCCTGTCATGTATTTGGCCTTTGAAGGAGACAACAGATATTCCTATGCAATATTTAACTTTTCACTATGCCCCTGCCCACACAGGCTTTAACAACCCAAGACACAAGACTATACAGTGATTCCCAAACAGAGAGCAACCCTCTTTCTTGGATCTGTAGAGCATAGTTTAACAACCTTTGCAGCAGGCCATTGGTCACTGTGGTTCCCTTGCTTTACTTGTGACAGGTTAGGGTGTTGGGTCTTTGGTTATGTGTTGGGCTTGCCTGTTGTTTTGCTAAGAGATTACACAATGGATCTGCATAGGATGGTACGGGTAGGGATGATCCTGCTTCATGCAGGAGGCTGGACTAGATGACCTACAGAGGTTCCTTCTAGCCCTACTTTTCTGATTTTACAACTGTATGATGGGCTAAAGCTACTCATGTAAATGGCAGCAATTCAGTTTAAAAGAGGCAGGTCAGGGAAGCACTGCATAACCCTGTGCTTATTATTTACTAAGTATCAATTGAAGTAAAATTGCAGAACAGCCCTCAGAAACAGCCCTCTCACTACTTTTCCAGTCATCATGCAGCATTAATTGGAATAAGCTGCCTCTTGCAGCTGGATATAGCATTTTACCAATACTTCCTTTAACTGCCTTCCTGCTGGGAAGCAGGCTGAGATATTGGGAAGCCTACTTCCTGCAGAAACTTATGGGAAGTCTGGCTAGCAGAGTTATGGTGAACTTCTGCAGGTAACAGAAAATTGTTAGTTTAAGAGCAGCTGCACTGCTTAAATTAGGCCCTCACACCCTCCAACACATCTGTATCTCCAAAAAGGATAATGCAGATGACCCCTTTTATTTCCCCCCCTCTGATTTCCCACAGCGTGTAACGTGAGACTGATATCCCATGCTCAAAGTCTACCTAATCACACTATCAGAGCAGCCAGCTCTTTACAGGAATTTCAGCTGCCCCTTGCATATTTAAGCCAGACTGTAGTTCTGTTTGTGCTTAACCATTTGACCCTCAGTCTGAGTCCCCAGACGCTCGTACTGCTAAAGTTAACTACTAGCCCCTGTACTTTTGATTAGGGTAAGTACAGTGCCAAGGCTCAAGCTGCAAGTCATGATAGTCTGACACTGCTTGAAAACTAAAGCACAGCAAAAACAAATGGGACAGAGAAATACAACAGGGGTAGGAGACTCACCGTAACTTCACATTCTGCCCAGTGTAAGACTCGTAAGGCTTTTCCACATGTGTGAATTCAAAGTCAAATGTCTGTGACTGAGTGAACTCGCCAGGACGGGCCAGGTCTTTCACCAGAGACACAAATTCATGGTGGTTCCCTCGGTCATAGTAGAGCTCTAGGAAGAAAAGATGATGGGTTAAGCAGTGCTGCTCAATGCCACATGAGAGGGTCAGCTGCAAGGATGGAACCACAGGGAAAACTCATGGTTGAAAGGAAACTCTCTGCTGCCAAGTGTCTCCCCCCAAGCTAGCCCTCACCACTGTTGTAGGAGAAGGTCTCTCAGGAAATCTTGCCCTTTCCATACAAAGGGTCACACTTCATCTTTCCATCTGGGCCAGACACCATAAGACAAACAAAAGTCTGAGGTAGTGCCACAATAATAGGCTGCCAGGGGAGGTCACTGGCCCAAGCTGACTTTGACAGCCAGGAAAAATGAGGACCTAACTGAGTTGTACGTGCCCTTTGGTTCCACAGGTTTCTGCATCTTGTTTTCCTCCTAGTGCCGATGACGCCAAGATGTGGGGAGAGGTAGGCATGCTCAAAGGGAGAGAGAG